TTCTCAAAAAATCTACAAAAATCTAGATAAATTAAGAAAGTGACGGAGAATCCAGGAGGTTCTAAAAGATTCTAAACTCACAAAATTTTTAATTTAGTGTTGTCTGAAAATACTCGAAGGGATCAGAAAAAAAATCTAGTTAGGATCTCAAGGATTCTAGAGAGCTTTGCATTGCTATTGGGCCAAGTAGCGTACCTGTCAATCTCGACGCGGATTGCCAGCTCTGGAACGCCGTTCTTAAGTTCTTCTCAGGCGACGGAAAAAACGAGGGCTCAACGACTACGACCACTACGAGCTGACAGGCGGTCGAACATCGGACTGAATCATTATAATCATATATTCAATGGAAAGTTTTTGGGTCACGCTATGTAGGTTACCGTAAGCTCTAATAGTGTGTTTCCATTTTTTTCAATCTCATTTCCTTGTCTTATGAAAAACAAATCCAAAATGACAAATTCCTGTTGACCTCTTGATCTCTCAACCGAAAAAAGTGACGTCGACCAAAACAGTCAGACGGAAAATCTAGATTTCGAATTCGCACATAAAAACACATGCAAATTTCGACAGAAATAAACATAAGTGGAGAAAATTGTAACATTCTTTGTAAGGATAGCAGACAAACGTCCAAAAAAATTGAGGTTGTGTTTTGCTGAACAATATTGAAGAACTGTAGAAATATACACTTTCAGACTGATCTATGAAAATCGAGGTACGGTTCTTTCAACTCTTCGATGTTTTCATTGTCTTTCCCAAAAGTTGGTCACCATACAATTCTCAAACTCACAATTTAATATTTATTGCCGTCCCTTCTCCCCCTCTCCGAAAAACATAAGAATTTCTAGCAGTGAACACTGAGAAAGTGAGGAATCATTGAAAGGAAGAGAAATCAAAACAAAACCCGAAGAAACAGTTGCTACCCTGAAAATATTGTTTTCTTGAGAAAACGTACTGATTCAATGCTTCATTCATTCATCTTCCTCTTTTTTATTTCATTTTGTGTAACAACACCAAAGGCTCTCAAGGACAGCCCATCTCCATCGTCGATACGGGGCAGTCCGTTGATTCATACTAACTGACAGACTGACTACCTGTTTATCCCACCCGACAGAATACCAAAAAATCGGTTCTCATTTTTCTTTTTTTCGATGATTTTTCTTTCTCTCCTATTGAATCATCTCTTCCCAAACATCAAGAGAAATGAATACATTCTATCAGTTCTTTGTACTTTTCTTTATGGTCAAAACAAAACATATCATTGTAGTCTACAGTCAACCTTTTCAGAATGCGTGTCTCTATTCTTCTTTTGGTCTTTTTATCGGTCGCTCTTGCTTGTGACATCATCGTTCACTTGAAATCAGATACCGACAAGAAGTTCAGTGGACAAATTGTGGCTAGCAATGGAAAGAAGTCGGAGAGGTTTGTGAGATCTTTCAGAAATGAGTTAGACAAAGATTCTTGAATTTTCAGATGGAGCTACTTGAAGAAACTTCAAAAGAACACTTTCCAACAAAAGGCTGACGAATGCGGACTCAAGGATTGGGAAATCACCACTTGGGATGAGACCGGAAAGCCAGTTTCCACTGTCAAGGTTACTTTGGATGGAATCGGAAGAGTCACTTATAAGGTTGGAGATGACTTGAAGGCTGTGCAAAAGAACCGTCAAGGAGCCATCTGCAAGGGACAATGTGCTCCATTGTAAATTCTTTGTTTTTTTTGTATTAGTAAACAATAAAACTAATTCATTTTGATTGCTGTAAAAATACGATACTTGAGACATTTTTGAGTTTAAAATCGCGTATTGAATTCAAGGCAACATGATGATGAGTTAGGGAAAAAGTATGTACACGAAAGAGTATATTTATATGGCAAACTGAAAAATGAGACTAGCCACGAAAGTATAAAGATGACTGAATTATTTGTTAGTTAAGGAATCGAATCGACATTTTCTCTTCAATATCTGTCTTCTCCATAGCTCTACAGAATTCTTCGAACGAAATTTTGCCATCACGATCAGCATCCGCTTCTTCGATTGTCCTATCTGCGATTTTGTCAAGCTGATCTGACGTTATGTTTGCTCCAACCATACTGTTTAGGATTACTTTGAACTCTTCGCGGGTGATGTAGTCATTCTTATTAAGATCATACATTTTGAAAGCAACTGAAACAAGATTTTTTTGAAAATTGTGAACATAACAGCAAACACTTACACAAAAGTTTATCTTTCCGAGAGTTAAGTGCATTCTTCTTCACTCGAGAAATTGGTTGAAAGTGAGCGAGAATCCGCACGAATTGACGGAAGTTTAGTTGTTGCTCTTCATTATCTCCATTCGAAGAAGCCAATGTGAAGAAAGCGTCAACGATTCGATCTCCTAAAGGGTTCACAGCCAATTCCGGTACATTCAAAAAATCGTCTCTCGATAAGTATCCTTGTCCTGAAATGGAAAAAAATAATCATAACTTTGAATAACTAATTGAAACAAAACCTTTTTTGTCAAGTGATAAAAATCTGCTGTAGAGTCGGACAATTTGATTTCTGTTGACTGAAACAATTCGAGTTCAAGAACCGTAGTGGTTAATCAATTTGTGCCCTGATCTCACTCGAAAACCACGAAACTTACTCACATTCTGTTTCATTCATGATTTCGTCGATCTCTTCATCTCTTAACATCAAAGAGCTGCTGTTTCCCATTTTGAAACGCTGAAAAAAGTTGGCTTACTACTGGAAGACTGCAAAAATTCTATTGAAATCAACAAGAAACAAGAAAAATATGGTTCACATGTTCAAAATCATGTGACAATTAAAGATTTTAGTGATTTTTTGGGAAGAGAACGACGAAAAACTATTGTTGGTTGGATTTTCTGGCGACAAATATTCTACGAATAACAAAATCTGTCCTCGAAGTGTATAGATACTAATCAGACATGGCGTATTGATCAGCCATCATCTATTGAAAACGGGGGTATCACTGCGAGAATGTGAAGAAAGAAAAGATAACTATTGATTTTCAAAGCAACTGTCTTATCTTTATGAAATGGACGTAGTCGCCATGCCATGGAGGCAACAGGCACATAAACAGGAAAGTGAAGGCAATTGTGGGTGGGAGGACATGATAACATAAATAACAGTAATCGAACAAAACACGTGAATACCGTTATTGAAATTGTGATTCTTAACAACAAAATAATAGTTTTATTTGGACGGGGCCTGCATTCGGTTTGGGTTGTATGTATCGAATTCTTCGTCATCAGTCTCTTCGTCTTCATCATATGTATCCTCTATTTCATCTTCCGATTCGTCATCTTCTTCTTCGCTTTCACTGAAAAATGTGAGAATTTGCTTTGTGATAGTTTCGTTTGCATATGCTGGCCTAAATTCAAAACGCCTGTTCTTTTTTGAACTGCAGCGATTCTAAGCTAGTTATTTTTAATTGTCCGCAATCAGTTCACTTTACAATAAATCGTTCTGACCGATCAAAAAAAGATCAGAACACTTCTGAATTCATGATGTACCTTGGTGGTAGCATGTCGTCATCAATCATTTTATCGTTTGCCTTTCCTCGTTTAGCTTCGCGAGTCATTTTGAGAGCGTGTTCTTCGAAGCACGATGGCCACTTTCCAAGCTCCCTGATGTAGAGTACGTTGTCCTGGTCCAAAATGTACTCGATTTCTCCCTTGACCTGGAAAATACACATTAGATAATCCAGGAACATTTAAACGAAATTGAATTACTTTGTCTCCTTCGGCGATAGGACGAACAACAACAAACTGATCACGACGGAGCCAGACAGCCTTTCTAAACTTTGTTGGCATAGAAACGACGTAGCTATCTCCGTTCTGATCCAAAACTTCATGAAGGTTGTTACCACGCGACTGGCGGACCTGTGCAATGATGTCTTCTTCAGCGAGCTCGTAGAATTCGCTTCCAACCTGAATAATTCTAGCTTGAAATGAATTTTTCTTTGACATAAAATGTTTCCTGTGTTTAAAAACAGTCTTAATGACTATTTAATCTCATAACAAAGATTAAAATAACTTTTGCTCACTTTGTTGGTAATGTAACGTTTCTTGGTAGCAGCAGACATGATTTCCGATTGAAGGTGAGATGAGTTTCAAGTTGGGAAGTATACGATCAATAAATCACTTCTTCTACTTATACGCATACACTGGGGGGAAGGCCCGAACCTGGAAAAACTAAAATAATCTATTTATAGTTAGAAGAAACGCTTAAAAGATTTCAAAGTAAGGAAAAACGGTTTTAAATTTCGAAATTCAATAACAAATTTGAATGAATAATTGAAAATCAGAAAACGGGAGCCAATTCGCGAACTAATTTTTGGGAAGAATGGAAAAAATTGTGAAACGTTTTGCAAAAAAAAGATCATTGGCGCAGAACAGTCTTCGTTGGCCCCTTTTCAGTGTGCTGGCGCAGAAATGGATTTTTCTTGAGGAACGAGAGACGCAGGCAATCGAGTCAAAAATAGGTTTTCAGAAGTAAATTCTGATTGAACGGGGGAGAATTCGGAGAAAATGCCGAGGCACAGCACGAGACTTTAGTTGGAATGTATATAACTCGTTATAAATTCGAACAGGCCGGAAAGTCTATTCTCGCATTATGCAAAGGCATCAAGGCAGTGTATATGATCTCAACAGAACCTGCGTGTCTGGTAAGACGAATTCCGAGATTCAATTGATTATTCTCTCTTTTTCAGATAACCTATACCAATGGAACGTATGAATGTCTCCCATTTCCACCTATAGGAAGTATAGACTATGAGATCGATG